AAGGGCCAGCAGCCAACACAGGCTCAATCCTGGAACTCACTGAAAATGGTTCCACTGTACCACACTCAGGAATGATGAGTCCAGAGCCAGGAATAATTCCTGAGTACTACTAGATATGGCCCCAACAATCTTCCTCGAAAAAAAAAAAAGCTGGCTAACTCAGACTTAGTAGAATTAAATTGCACTGCTGTAAAAAAAAAAAATTCATATTATAAATAAGATATATCTGAGAGTCCACTTTGCTTTTCCATATGAGAATAAAATTTATTTGCACAAATGATCTCCCCATACAATCTTCAGTTCTCCCTCTTGCAAATATATTTGCAAATGCCATTGCACCTGTTTCTGTACAAACATCTTTGATGTGCAGAAAATCAAATGCATCAGGACATTGTCAAAAAATAGCTAAGTAACATATTTTTCAAATGAATATAATAAACTATGTTTCATAATTGAACACCCAACAGAGTAGCTAGATATTTTTCGATGAGAAGTCCTTCCTCATGATCAATGTGCTTTCCAAACCTTGCCAATACGATATGCCTTTAACCATCTGTTTTATCTAGTTGATTAGCTAAATTTCTCACACAGCTCTGAATACTCACATTTTGAAGAAAACTTCAGCATCTGACCCTAAAATTCCAACTTTGGCTCATGTGAATAGGTTAAGTCATGAATTCAAGAATTTTTTTTTGATTTTTGCTTAATATAAACTCATTTTCTCTATTTCTTCTAAGAACACAATTTTTGTGGGATGCTGTACCTTCAAATTCCTGAACTGATTATATCAGTTAATTTAAGGTTTTTATTACTAGATAAATATTTATTTATTTATTTAACCTTCCATTATACTAATCCCAAAATGCATCAATAAAAATCACAAATATTACAAAGGAAAAATCAGTTCAAATGCTGACAATTTTATGAACATTAGGATTGGCATACCTTATTGAATTCCATGATAATTCATAAAAAAATCAGAACGTATTTTGGTTAATTAAGGGTTTTTATAGAAGTAGTTATTATATCTCCTGTCCTAAATTACTCACATAAGGGAGGTTATAAACCCAGGTATAGAGACTGACATTAGCAATATAGCAAATACAACTGCATTCTAATGTGAAAGAAATATGGAGTTAGTATAGATTGGGTTACATTTTCATTTGGTACAATTTTATCTGCTCTGGTTGGTACTTAGCTTAAATAAATATCCTTTCCCATAAGAAGCTATTTCTACACTTCCCAATCCCATTTAGTTGCTTTCCTTTTAATTTACCTTTCTTTCATTGTATCTCTCTGTCATTTTTATAGCATTTGTTATATGACCTCTATTACCTGCAACTTTCTCTCTTATAGTCACAGAGTCCTGGAACATTAATAGGTGTTCCAAGCTCAATTCTCATTATCTTATACATCTGGCATATAGTAAATACAAGTTTATGTGGATAAGTATATATTGAGCATATAATTTTGGATTGGGCTAGAGCAAGAGCACAGCAGGTAGGGTGTTTGCCTTGCACACGGCCGACCTTGGTTCAATTCCTTTGTCCCTCTTGGAGAGCCGGGCAAGCTACCAAGAGTATCCCACCTGCACAGCAGAGCCTGGCAAGCTCCTCGTCACATATTCGATATGCCAAAAACAGTAATAACAAGTCTCACAATGGAGACGTTACTGGTGCCCTCTCGAGCAAATCTATGAACAGTGGGAGGACAGTGCTACAGTGCTATAATTTTGAGTCTCATGATATGAATGAAAATTTGTTCAAATGAAGGAAGCAGGTAGACATAAAGTTTTATTAATAAGAATACATAAAAACTTGACTATTGTGACTACAAACACTAGGTAAAAGAAGTGCATATGCTTCAGATAATCATCTGTGATCCATGTTCCAACTCAAGGGAAGATCAAAGTAACATTGGTCAAACAACAGTGATGAAGATTGAGAAGCAAGTTTTATTCTAGAACTCATTAAAACAGAGTTGTAACTGATCCCTTATAAGGAGATGCCAACAAAATACATGATCAAGTTTATAGAGACTTTGCATTTCTGGTTCCGTGAATAATTTAGACCTAATTATACCACATTCCTTGCATGAAATGACATCTTATGAAGTAAGTTTTACCTATATGATACTAAAATAAAAACAACATCAAAATCATTATTTGTAAAACAAACAGAATTTCACATATTCTGTTAGAGATGCACTAGAGGTGAACAGTGTCTATAATTAGTGGGGAAATTGAAAACAATTATTCACAAAGTGTATAATCCTCTTTATTATTCTGAAAAACCATTCCTTAGCTCCTCATATATTCTATAATATGAATTCATAACCATTCATATGTTTATGAATACTAAGGATTACCTTTAACTCTGACTTATTGCCCAACTCTCCATCTAGGGAAATCTCTACTGAAGATTTTCAAGGTATTTTGCAAGAATAAGGCTACAAACTTAACCTTGATCTATCTAGATCTATCACCTAGACAGAGAGAGATGTACTGCACATTAATCTATTATTTTCCCTAATGAGCAACCAAATTCATATACATGTAATGTATCTCAATACCATTGATATATTAATATCACAATTCCAGTAAAAACGACCTTTTTTGTTTTTTTTTAATTGGGCCACACTTAATAGTACTCAGGGGCAACTCCCAGCACTGTGCTCATGGGCTGCTCCTGACAGTGCTCAAGGGACCATGGGGTACTTGAGATTAGATCTGGGCTGAAGCATACAGAAAATTTTATCCTATTAGCTATTAGGGTCACTGGAGGTCCTGAAGAGAAACCTATAAGGATGAGGGAAATCTCTCTTTTCTTTTTTCTTTTTTTTTCTTTTTGGGTCACTCCCAGCAATGTTCAGGGGTTACTCCTGGCTCTGCACTCAGGAATTACTCCTGGCGGTGCTCAGGGGACCATATGGGATGTTGGGAACCGAACCCGGGTCAGCCGCGTGCAAAGCAAATGCCCTACCCACTGTGCTATTGCTCCAGACTGGAGGGCAATCTCTTTCTAACCTTGATTATTAACATTGTCTCTGGGGCTTGCTTACTGTAACTACTACCACACTGTCTCAGGTCTGAAGGGATTCCAATCCCAGTTACTAGTCTTGTAACGTATCCTTTATCTGAAGAAATTCTATGACAGGACTTCTGGACCTACCATTCAAAAACCACAGCCCAGTAGAAAAACTTTTTTCCCACTAATCCCAGTATCCACTATAGTCCAAATTACTGTTGATACTCGAACACCATGTCCTTATTCCTGGCATCACCATCAGTAAATAGGGAAAGCATGAGCCACACGTCCTTTTCAACAATGTATACTTTTATCAGGTCAATGTGCACAAATATCTGTAATTTCAAGACCATAAAACTACAACCTCCTCTTTGTAAAGCCAACATATTCAAGTACTGTGAATGATGACTAGTCATTGGTTCCCAATTTTCATACACTTTCATACTTATTTCATATTCAGTGATGCTCCATTTGAATATTATCATGAAATTTATTGTTCTTGTGAGTTTTCTTTGCACCTATATAGCAAAAGTCCAAACTTGCAGGAAGTAATATGTCTGCTGCTCCTATGTGCTAGTACTAAGGAAAGAGCCCTAATGAATAATATTATCCACAGAAATATCAATACACAATCCCTAATTTTGTTTTACTCAAAGAATATATAACAATGAATTACCAACCAAACATCATCTTGCATATTTTAAAAGTACCTGAAACTTAATATTTCCAACCTGAATCTAGTGATCATCTAACATAAATCTATTCTTTCATTATTTTTTCTTAGCAAACATCCTATCCTTTTTCTAAATATACAAACTCTGCACCCTAAGATTACCTTCTACAGGTTATTTTCTAATTCCCTCTCTATACTTAAAAATCAATTCCTCTCATATAGTCTTAAATACAATATCTTAAATACCTCTGAAATGTTTTTCGTATCTCCCACAATCACATTAGCCCAAAATAACCTCATCTAGTCTTGAGTAGATTTTAAGAAACTTGTAATTTCGTATTCATTGATTATGTTGCCTATCTGTTACTTTTTTACTATTTTATTTATAACATTTTGGACTTTGCTTATTCTGAGCACTTGATAAACATTAATTGAATGAATTGGTGACTCTGTGCAGCAACATATAAGAGAAAACTAAGAAATTCATCAATATCCAAATAAGCAGGCAATTATGAATTTGGATTTAAATTTAGGTCATCTCAGTTTCACTAAATGTAAATCCTGATTATCTTTTCATCTTAGTAACATAATGTATATCAAACTTTAGGGATCCCCCCCTTCATTCTACTTATAACATAGATAATAATAGCAAATTCTGAGTGTAATTATCTATGAATATAGAAAATAGCACTCCTCCCACAGAAGTTACTCTGCTGCTTTTAAGGACTTGACATTCATTACTAATACTTTAAAAAGACATTTTAAAATTTTATAAATAAAAATTTTTATGAAGCTTACATTCCAAATTACGATAACAAAATATATCTAAAGCGTTCACCATGAAGTAAAGGCATCAGAGATGAATATATGAAGAAGACATACATATGTATATGTGTATAAATATATATTACAATAATTTTTATATCATTTATTTAGTGTTTGCCATCAACTTGTGCTAAGAAATTCATATATGCTGTAAAATATAATCTATTAATATTCCTACTTTATCCTTAAGAAAATTGAGAACTGAAGGAAACAATCAAGACAAGCATCAAAACCAACTTCGGTATGACTCCAGAGCCATGGTTAACATTAAATTTTCTTCCAAATAAGTAGTTAAATATTTTATTTTGAGTCATTGTTTTGTGGGGAAAAATTTTGACAAAACTCATTTTTACTACCAATAGCATCTTATCATAAGACATTTCAATTATAATCATGTGTGGAAGAAAAATATTACATACATTATTATCACATTAGCTTTATCCCAGAAATTTAAGCAGTAAATTGTTTAGCCTTACCCATAAATTCAATCCCCAAGTGGTCTGCTACAACGAAGTCAGCATGTGAAGAAGAGAAAAATAAAAGAGAGAAAGATTAGAAAACAATTCTTATGGAATTCAATACTTATAATAGTGATCTTCCAAAACAAAGGATATGTCTAGTTTTAACTACCCTATTTATAAAGAAGATAATTTATAGAATAATTTGAACACTGAATGGTACTTATCTAAAGACTCCACTAAATATTATTTGGTCCGGAATTTTAGGTAAAATAATATGTTACTTTGGACAAACTGGCAGGCTACTGAATGTAACCTGCCAACACGGCAGAGTCTGGCAAACTCCCCGTGGCGTACCCAATGTGCCAAATACCAGTAACAATGATGGGTCTCATTCTCCTAACCCTGAAAGAGCCTTGAATATGGCACTTTTTAAAAAATTTCAGGGCTAGGACGAAGAAGACGCTACTGAGGCCTACTCGAGGCAATCAATGAACAACAGGATAGTCGTGATCACTAATATCTTGTTTATTAAAATAGGTAATGCATAAATATAGCTCTCCAAGAAAAGATAAAGAAGCAAAAAATGAAGAGAAACTATTCACACAGACTATCTGATAGAGTTCCTTTCATGTATTTCCTATAGAGTAACTTAATTTTTCAACTAAATTTATTTGGACCTCTATTATGTAAAGAGCTTCCACATAGCAGGCTTCGATCAAATGTTCTTCACTTTCAAAAAATACCAAGAATATTTTATTTGCAAAATGAGAAAATACCTCAGAAAAACTAAAAAAGTTAGATACATGACAGCACCTCCCTACCAAACACAAATTTTAAAATGTTTCAAAATATTGTCTGTTTTATGTTAATGGGGATAGCTTACCATTTTAACCTGCTGTTGTCTGTGAAGAACAGTGATAAAATGGTCATGTTCTGCCCAGGCATTCAACCTTAAAGTTCCCTTTATTTAAATGGTTCTTTACTGTCAATTATTTATTCATTCACTTTTAAGATTCACTGAATTATTTAATGATGATTTCTGTTGTAGTAATGTTTCTTAAATAAGAACTCGAGCGGGCCCAGTAACGTCTCCATTGGAGACTTTGTTGTTACTGTGTCTGGCATATCAAATACTCTCGGTAGCTTGCCGGGCTCTCTGAGAGGGGCGGAGGAATCGAACTCGGGTCGGTCATGTTGGCCGCGTGTAAGGAGAACGCCCTACCCGCTGTGCTAAGAACTAATAAAAAATAAAGCATAGCCACAATTACATTTGTTTTAAAGACTAATTGCACTGAAGCTATATTACAGTGGGTAGAGTGCCTTGCAGGCGACCGACTGGGTTTGATCATTGGCATCCAATATGGTCTCTCCAGCACTGCCAGGAGTAATTCCTAAGTGCAGAGCCAGGAACAACCCCTGAGGATCACAGGCTGTGACCGAAAATGCAAAAAAAAAAATTAATAGCTTAATTGTTGGGCAACAAATCGCTTATTTAGCGAAGCAACTTTTTTCCCTAGAGAATACACATTTAGATATTTTGGATATTTCGATGTTTAATCCAATGTTTGAATCATTTAAACATTATTAATTGAAGCTGCATAAACACATTTTATTTTAAAATTTTGTTATTAATCCTATTATTATATTGCCACACGGGTGCTCACGGGACTACTTTCAGCTTTCTGCTCAATGCATGCACTCTAGTTCTGAAGCTATCATTCTGGTCCTTATTTTAACTATTAAAAAAGTTATTGACTCACAGTGAGATACACAGTTACAAATTTGTTCATGATCGGGTTTCACTCATTCTCTCATCTAATATTCCAACATCTGTCTCTTCACCAGTCAGTGTACATGCATTTCCCACCACCAATGTACCCAGCTCTGCCCCCCTGCCTCACCCCTCCTTTGCACTTTTCTTCTCTCTCCCCACCTCCCCATCTCTCCGTATCCCTGTCTCTGTCTCTCTATCTTTGTCTCTGTCTGTCTCTCTCTCCACTTTTCAGCATTATGGTTTGCATAATAGATATTGAGAGGCATTTTAACCAATTTTATCTATACACGCATGTAACTTACTAGCTCTATTTACACACACACACATATTGTGAAAGCATAACCACTATATTCCAAAACTTTGCTATCACCAGAACGGAAACTGTGCTCACTAGGCAATAATTCTCTATTTTCCTCTGGCACACTAATCCAAGCTCTAATCTACTTTATGCACTACAGAATTTCCTATAAGTACTTCATGATTCTAGTATCATACACCTATTTTAATTTTAAAAAGTCTCTTTTATAAAGATCATTTGGATATTTGGGTGGTGGTAAGGTGAGATAATAACTGTGTATACCAAAACCATAAATGTCAATATCATTACCAACATATCTTAACTATATTCTTTAAAAACAAAAAAATAAAGATCAACTTGATGTTTTTTAAAATGCAGATGCATTTATTTCTTCACATTGTACTTTTAAGTGCTTAATATGTACTAAGATAGATAGCTATAACACTTTTTAAAAAGATCAAATTTTTCTTTTCAAGTAATTCAGAAATCAGTAGGAGCCCAAAGGGGGTGAGGGAAAATTAAGTAATTCTCTGTACAATCTTATAATGAAAACCCAGATGATGTGTAGTGGATAGATAGGGAAAGAACCCCTAGGAGGAAGAAAATGGTCTGTATCAAAGAATAGGGATTGTTGAAAATTTGGAACAATTATATTTAGGTCCTTGTGTGAAATAAGAAGCTGAATCATGGTATGCACTTTTGACACTAGAGAAAGGGATTAGAGTTGAGGAATTAAAAATAAAACAGAGATTTGAGTGATATTACTTTCTAAATGGAAGAAAAAGGATGGAGGGATAGAAAGGCACGTTTCAACACGTGCCTTGCATAGAGCTAATCCAGATTCAATTCCCAGTCACTTGAAACATGGGACACTTAAAAAATTTTGCATACACCCAGAAGAAAATGTGCAGGAAGGAAACCCATAGATATAAAATACATGACACTTTGGGAACAAAACCCATTCAGTAGTGGACCACAGATGTTCAGTGATATGAATGGGAAAATAAAAAAAAATCAGTATCCCATGCTTGGTTAAATAAAAATATTCTGGAGGTAATAAGGCTCAGTGATAGATGGATGGCTGTTTTCTGTTTTGATGGCAAGCATAAACTTTTTTTTATATTTTTATATGGCTTTAGCTGCTCCACATCTCTGTCAGACACCCCTATCTCAGGCTGTCTTTGTGTCTGAGATTGCTCTAAAGACATCTGTGGTATGGTTAGTAAATTTTGAGGATAATATGAATATTTGAAACTACCATGAATCTATGTCCAGCAGAAGTGACAAAAAACAAAATCAGAAAACTATTCAAACACTGAAAGGAATAACTAAAAATAAAAAAAATAAAATGCATCCCCTCTAATATTGTAAAGAAACTACATCTAATTATTAGACTTATAATTATCATAAATAGTGTCATAAAGGTCACATATATATCAGAGTCTATAGAAAATTATCAATTTTTATAATGATGCTTATGAAAATGACACCATTCCAAATATAAATAATAGATTAGAAATCATTAAGATTTATTTTCTTATATACACATGCTCGCACATTTCCATTGTTTTATTAGAATGCTAAACATTGATCATTACTGTAGGTTCTAAGACACTCAGGCTTTGTTTCATACAGAAGGATCAATGGAAATCTATGAAGAACATGACAGAAAAGCAATTAGTTTTGTCAACTGGGTCATACACAAGACATACTGTGCAATATATCTCATAATCATTTCTGCTATTTCTTAAAGCAAACAACGTTCCTGGGGGAATGTATGCCTGCATAAAAACAAGGGAAACGTGCTGAGAACTAATAAATTAATCATGTATTCCTTCACCCAACAAGTATGGGCCAAGGCTACACAGACACTCAGGTGGAATTTTCCTATTTGCTAAATACATTTACAGTAAATACACAATGGTTTATCAAAACAATTCATAACCTCTATTCCTATTTGCTAAATACATTTATAGTAAATACACAATGATTTAGCAAAAAAATTCATAACCCCTATTTCATGGGTTACAATGAATGATTTCTATGCTTTGAACCTCTTAGGGTTCATATATTAAAAACTGCAGTTATTTTAGAATAGGTATATATTTTGATTATATAATAGTAGCTAAAGGTAATTGGGAACTTATTATATGCCAGGAAGTGAATGAAATATTAGTTCATAGAAACTTACTAAATGAAGATGGTTATTATTCTTTACACCAGACATAGGCACAGAGAGGTTAGCAAACTTTCCCTGCGCTAGATCGACATTGAATTCTGGGAATACAATTGAGGAGCCTAAACAACTTAATTCTTAGCAGCTATACTCAGAGTTTGAACATGAGATTCTTGGTGAAGAAGAAAAGGCTAATTTTTTAAAAATTATATCAGATAATTAGATATCCAGGGAGGAGTTATTTAATCTACTTTAAGATAACAAACTGTTTTCAAGTATCCTTAGGCACTGCATAAGCACCACTTATTTACTTGCTCATCCTGAGTTCACTGATGAAGTGTGGACCATTAGCCAGGTGAATAGAGATTCCTTCTCTCCAAGGAATCAAAGCTTCAAATCATTAATATTTCTCTATTTGTTCCTGGTGAGAATGCCTCAAGAAGATGCTGGTTCAAAAATGCTGTATTTTAAATAGATAGCAAGGAATATATAATATTCTGTCTAAATGCACAATAAGCACTGAAACCAATAAACAAACCATTGGCCATGTGCTTAACACACAAGCTTAATATTGGCCATGTCGGCAGCTCTCTTGCAAACCTGAAACAGTTTTAAGATAATGGGGTGATGTAGGTTAATGGGAAATAAAGTTTTGGGGGAAAAGTCGACCAAGGGTAGTGAAGCATAAATCTTATAAATCTAGGAACTTCTCAAAAGTCCAAGAAGTTTATATGTTTCCAAGTTGTCCATGGAACTTCATGCCTAGAGAGTTCAAAGTTCACATTGTCCAGGTA